GTCATTTTTGGCAGACATAAAATGGCTTTGATTCATCAAAGTTTTTATCTCGTATAAATCTCATAAAAAATAGCTGATATTCTTGCATCTTTTCAGATTTGTTTAAAAAGAAGATATAAATAGCTTGATATTTAGCTAGAATGCTGGGTGGTCACATTGCCAAGAACTCATAAATCCTCCACTGTAACTGCCATGTTAGATTCACATCAAAGAATCTCACTATGATAACCCAAGACCAAGATGATAGCACAGAAATGAGGACTGCAGGGAGCTCGATCCCAAACTGGACTCTACTTCCTAATTGAGTTGATTCGCACGTCCCCGCACCTCCCAGCCCTCGCCCAGCAGAAGCAACAGCCACTGAAGTGGGCAGGAAACAGTGGCCATCGTCCATGGCAGAAGCTTTTGAAAGACCTGTCCATGTGAGGACCTGGGAGTCCACCGGACTGGATCAGCATTTCCCAGGCGTGCAGTGAGCGAGCTCCCTCAAGTCCAGCCCCCTCACCTGTCCAGGAACACGACGACACCCCCAGGGCGTTATGAAGACCAGAGGACCCACTGCCAGGCCGAGGGCAGCTCTGCAGGGCCTGCTGGACAATACCGCTGGTCCCCGCAAACAGCACTGTTCCCAGGCGCCCGTGAGCTCCACGGCTCTCATGCACAGCCGGGCCGTGCAGTCTTGTCCCTCGACGATCCTCCTTTTGAGGTTCAGTCACTTCCTGCAGCGGTGGCTCTCCAACCTCCCTCCTCAGGATTCTGGGGTGCTGCGGGTACTTCCCGCTTTGCCCCCTGTTCTCTTAGAGGGGGGCGAGGGAAGACGCAGAAGCCATCTGCCCTCTGCACTTGGTTCCAAAACTCACTGTCACAGAAGTTGAGGAAGAGACCCTGCTGCAACTGCCACTCGCAGTACTGACCACTGGTGACTCGCTGAAACACCCAACTAGCTGAGGCTCCTCTCAGCAGGGGCAGACAGAGTCGGGCCCAGGGACGCCCGCAGGTCTTCCTGAGCTCCCCGCCAGGGTGCACTGGGGCCCTCGGAACCTGCTCCTCCCACAGCTTCCAGGCCGGTCCCTGCACCTCGGGCGGCCAGTGCCACCAACAGGCACACCAGGGTGCTTCTAAGCCGTCGACCACTAGTGACTCAACACCGCAGTTCTTTCTTGGTCCCCTGGTAAGTAGTGGGAAAGAAGAGGGTCAGGGGCTCTGCTGGTGACCCCGGGTCCCGGCTGGCTGGTTACGACTGAGGACTTGCCACGTGGCTGCTGGGCTCCCTCAGAAGCTGCCAGTTCTGGCTTCTTTTAAAACAGTAGGTGACGCTGATCCTCCATCACGGGTCTCCCAACACCCTCCAGGGTCCTCCTGTTTCCAGCTTCTGCAGCCAGGAGGCGACGCCCCAGGTTATGGGCTCCATTCTGGGAGTCACGAGGAAGCAGTGACTCCCGAGTCCTGGCCAGGCCTCTAAACTTGGATCTCAAGATCTCCACAAGAGAGGAGAGGTGGACACACAGGCAGGCGGCCCTGAGGTCTGGAGTCACGCGGAGGCTGCGGCTGGCCCGTGACATTTATACCACCACCGCCACGCCTGCGCACGCCTAGCGCTTCTCTTTCTTCCTGTCCTCTGGAGACCGATTCTCTCTGGACGTAATTTCAGCTGGGCCACACAAATCTGGAAAGAGGAGAGGCGGGGAGGGGAGGCTGCCCGCAGTGCAGAGCCAGTGGGAACCCCCTGAGTGACATCGCCAAGCCCCCGGGGAGGGCGCCAAGCGCTCCATCCCACGAATGGCTGGTGTGAGTGGACGGTCCAGAAACCAGTCGTCACAGCAACGAGGCCAGGGCAGGAGACACGGGGGCCGGCACCAGGGAGAGGCTCAGGGCCCTGCAGGCTCTCAGGGAGGGCCCCGGCCACAGGACCTGCCGCTGACCCCAGCTTCATCAGACCTGCAAGCCAGCACTGCAGTCACACATTCTGTGATCAAATCTAAGTCACAGGCCACCAGAATGGCTACTGCCACAGGCCCCCAAGCACACGCTACCAAGGTGAGGAGCACTGGGTACTGGGGATGGCCACACGGAGGTGTGGCACATGTCATGAGGCTGACGCTCCTCTACCACGGGACCTGGCGCATCCCCTGCCGGACATGCTCCCACAAGAAACAGAGTCAAGTCCACAGGACGCGCTTCGCAGACACAGACAGCAGGTTCTCCAGAACTTAAAAAAATAGAAAAACACTCCACTGTCTACCAGCTCATGAGATGAACAGGTCACGGTCCTTACCCACACCCCGGAGGAGCCAGCAGGCCACAGGAGGGTGCACTGCCGCCCTGCCACCCCAGGCAGGAATCTCCAGCCAGGAGGTGGACACGGAGGCCACGTGCCACATGGGCCCATGCTGTGGCACCCTAAAACCAGCAAACACAGCCCCAAAGCAGACCAGACACTGTGGTGGGGTGGGGGGCGAGGAGGCACAGCTCTGGGGTGACGGGGCTCCATGGAACTCCATGTGGTGGGGTTTCCTGACCGTGTGCTCATCTGCCCAGTCTCACCAGCCACGCTTACAGTGGGCGAGCGCCTTGCATGTGAGTCCTACCTGGACTCTGCAGGGCGTGGGGCTGTCAGCCGACCAAGTCGTCCTCACGGGCAGCTGGTGGGTAAAGAGAAGCCAGATCCTGAGGACATTTCTAAGCAAGGAGCTGCCTCACTTCACTCTAGTGACCCTGCTGACCCTTCTCCTGGGTTGCCTGGACCTACTGTGGAGAGACCATTCTTGCTACCTAGAAAGAGAAGTTCAGCCAGAGCGGGATTTGGGCTAAATCCTTTCACCAGCACGAAGGAGTCTTGGGAGCCAAGATTTTGAAGCTAAAAGCTGAATGTGGTCTTCAAAAGTGTACAGAATCAGTCTGGCCCATACCAGGGCTGACAGATAGAATTCGAATAAACTCAGGTTCAGATGCCAACAAATAGCCTGTCGGCATGACTGTACCCCAGGTCCTGTGTGGCACATGTCCCCCCGCCCATCAGTACCACCGTCATGGGTCCAAGTAAGGCCCTTGGATTTTATTTATTCTCTCCCGTCTGACCTGATGAACCTCGCATGTGTGTCAAGGCTGCAGGTATTTTTAGGAACTTCTGCTGGACCTTCCTCTTAAGAAACTGTAGCTGAAGAAACATGCAGGTGCTGAAGATGTGGACTTCTGAGCAGCAACTGCCTCAGGACTTTATTAACCACAGGGCGACCACTGACCCAGGGCATCGCCACCTTGGTCCTCATTAGAAAAGAAGCTTGGGTTCCACCCGGACCTCTGGAGCGCAGAGTCTGCACTGGGCAGGATGGATAGGCAATTCCTATGCCGTTGCAACTGCAGAAGCACCAATTCAGAAGACCGTGTGCTGGAGAAATTCCCAGGGCAGGGACACACAGGGTGTTCTGAGGGGAACGGGCTGTGGGAGTGAAACCCTCACAGGAACGTCTGGAACGCACAAGCGCTGCCTAAAGATGCCAACTGCTGCGCAGCAGCAAAATGAACAGAACTGAAGCGAGAGACTCCCGGGCCACGTCAGCACACCTGGTTCCAACTGGGCGACAGGACAGAGACGCAGAACCCGAGCAGACTGACGAGGAGGGCAGCCGTGTGGGTCATGCATGTGATTCACCCGGCTGTGTCGGCTCCAGCTGGCCCTCCTGGCCTGGCCCACTGGGCCCTGACGCTCCTGCACTGCCCGCCCTCACTAGCATGCTCCCGTCCGACCCTGGTCTGGGCAAGACTGAGATTCAGAGTCTGAAGTACACTTCCTAGCAAATGTGCGTTGCTTTTGCACCTACAGGAGTCAAAGCCCTGCGGTCAGAGGGTGGCCAGTGGGACGGCACTTCCAAGGACGGTGTGGGCCCAGCCTGGGAAGCTACGGTGCCGGGAGCCCCAGGAAGCACGGCACGGGGGAGGGCTCCAGGGGGCAGCCTGCTGCGCACTCGGCCATGCTCTAGGACTGCCTGGGCTTCAAGGGGACTCCAGCGTCCAGACCCTGGCCGAGAGACTCGAGTTAACTGGTGTCACAGGGAACTTTACACGTCAGCCTGCTGGGTCCAGGGCCACCGGGACGGCTGGCCAACATTCCTTCTGTGTGTGTTGGTGACAGGTTTTCAGAGGGAAGAGCGCAGGAGTCAGGGTCTGCCTAGAGAAGACCCTCCCACCCGCGAGGGCAGGCACCTCCCATCCACCTAGCGCCCCAGGGAAGAAGAGCAGAGGGAGGTCCTGCCACGGGACTCACAGACTCTAGGGACAGGGACGGCTCTCACCAGCAGCCTCCCTCCTCAGGGCCGAGCATGCTGGCCAAGCACACTGCCCACTGCTGGGTGTCCAGCCCAAAGACGGAGGACCCTGGGCGTCCCGGCCGGCCACGGGACAACCCCTGACAAGTCCCCCGTCCATCTAGACACTGCAGACGCAGCCCGGACCGACAGAGTGAGCCCCCGTGCGGCAGAGCGGGAACACACAGCCGAGGACTCAGCTTATCTGAGGCTCTGTCCACTGTCTTTTCAAGTAAATATAAAATGATGCCGTCTCTCAGAATCGGCAGACTGACACGATTCACACTGAAATCTACACAACTGGAATTAGCTACGCTTTCTATTTTTTCAAAATCTCAATTTGAATCCAAAGGTCAACTGATGATCCTTAGAGCTGAATGATCATTCATGATCAAAACTTATTCCAATCACAGCTTGGTTACTCTTCTAAGGCAGAATAGGTGCCTGGAGGGGGCAGGCAGGAAATAGCACGAATGACATTTGTTCTAGTCAAAGGCCACAGTGAAGCTGTCAGGATTCGTCCTGGCAACCGAGGGCTCGGTGGGGACACCAAGCTGAACACCGAGCAGGACTTCGGGCGCCTGCACGTGTCACTGTCGTATTGTTTCACTCATATGCAAAGTAAAAAATATGTATATTTATATTCAAAGAGAAAAGTATTTTCAAATGACCTTTAAAAATGAAAAATTGCCTTACCTCCTCCCTGTGATTCTTAATTGGCATACAGAGAATACTTTGTGTCCTGTAGCCTGTGATTTGGTCGACTTCTGCATTGAACCGGGGATCCTAGGGAGGAAAAAGAAATTCAATTTGATGACTGATCTGTACAAAGACTGATGGGATTTTTCTAATTTATTAGATCAGAGAATCTAACCTTCGACTTAGCTGGCCGAACTGAGTAAAAATGTCACGATGTGGCAGGCAGTCAGTCACGTGAACACTGCCATTCTTTGACAAAGATGAATCCAAGACTTTTTTTTTTTAGCAACTAGTGTTTATGAGAAACCAACAACGACCAAACAAAAAACAAAACAAAACAAAAAAACCAAACCGAGACTTTTAAAAAGAAAGGAAATTAAAAGTACTATTTAGAGAATCTCACATTCAGGAAAAAATTGGTGGCTGTCACCTCTGTGACACAATCTGCCGGTCCCTGCTGTCTCGCGGCCTGGTTTTGCTGTGCCATCCAGAGAGCACAGCTCTGGAACGCCCCTGGGACCGGCGGCCTCAGAGCCTGCACTGACCTCCCCTGCGGAGGCCACTCCCCTGCTTGCCTTCGGGGCCTCTACCTCAAGGGCTCATGAGAATCTAACTTTCTGTGTGTGCAAAAGGGTGTGTGGATGGACTTGTACGACTCCTCTGGCTCTCTTTCCCTTTCTACAAAGCATGTGGTGCACATCTAAGAACCACAGAGGACCTTCGTGGGGGTGTGGAAGTGCTGAATGTGGTTACGGATGGAGACTCGAGGGCAATTTCTCCACTAGGCTTTAGAGTAGGAAGACCTAAAATTAGGCTGCAGACTCCAGGAGGGATTCACTATCAAATGACTCTGCCGCTATCCAGTGTGATCAGGAAGGAAACCCACAGACACCGGGCTTGAGTGAGATCAGAAGGAAGCAGACGTGCAGACCCTCCGAGGGCCCCGCTCCCTCCGCACAGCCCTGGAAGGGCTCCCGATCTCTGCACCTGGAATTCCCTCCCTGGAACGTGGCCGGCCCACCTGGGAAAACCTCACCCTTTGAAGGTCACATCTGTGTATTAATCTGAAGTCAGGCACAGACAGAGCTGTGGTGGGTAGGCCACTGCATGAGCGTGCGCCAAATGGGGTCAGAAATGAGGCCAGTTCTCCTCCGAGAGGCCACACTTGGCTTTAAAGATGATTTCAAAAGAAAAGTTATAAAATGACAGAATACTATAAACACTTACTTCATTTTTGCTTTTTTCCCCAAACATGCTCAAGATTATATTAACTAAGATACACAAAAGCCTTAGCTAAATATTTCCTAAAAATAGTTCCTGTTTATCTTTAGATCTTTAGGTATCTTTCAACTGCAAGGGAAAGGAGAGGAGACAGGATCCCGAGACGGACGGATCACAGAAGTGAGGAGCGAGTGACGAGGAGCAAGTCATTCCACAAACTTACAAATAAGAAGGATAAAAATGCACCTTCTGTAGCTAATTTTAAACAAACATTAGAATTGTGAGACCGATTTACAAAGCAGAGGACTTGACCAGTGGAGGCCTTGGACTGTGAAATCAGGAGGACGGCGTGGCTTCTTGGTGTCACGGTGACGTTCACCTCAGTGGCAATCCTGGAGGCTGCCCTTCAAGGAGGAGGGTGGGATAAACACACCCCTCAAATGCATTCTACCTGAAGGTCCAGATTCCTGGTACTGCAAAGAAAAGTGTCCTTCACCAATGAGGTCAGCACAGAGGGACCCACACAGAGGAGCGCTCACTCCTCCAGGCCAGGAAACAAAGGAAAAATGGAACTCTGCTACCCTGGGATGACAGCGGCTGCCAGCTGTGAGAGCACGCTGTGGGGAGACCCCCGCTGGGTGTCCCCCTCAGCAGGCTGCACACTCACAGGTACTGGACGTGCCCTCCCGAGAAGACCACCACCATCCCAGACGAAGCTGCAGCCGAGGCAGAGGGAGACACGTGCCCACCTCACAGCAATAAGCTTGGTGCCCGGGACGCTCCTGTCTTGGAGAAGCAGGTGCTGCCCACGGAGAAGACCTGAGAGACCTCCAACCTCCGTGGCTGGAACTCGTAAACTAAAGAGAGATGCTGAGTTGAGGGCGAAGCAGGAGTAAGCAAGGGTGGCAGAAGCAGGAGTGGCCAGTCCCCTTGGACATGCAAGGGCCAAGCACTGAGAGGGCAAGCAACGTGGCCTGCTGAGGGCCGACGCCGGGCAGGGAAGGGCCTGTGGACAGCGACACTCAGCGAGGGCAGGGCAGGCCACTCCTGGGGAGCGCGGATCACACCCCGTGTGGGTGGCTCCTGAGGCCAGTTCAGAACCGGAGCTCACCCTCCCCAACAAATAATAAGACGGAGCCTGGCAGGATCAAATGATGTGCCCCAATTCCACCTCCCGCCAGAAGCCCAAAGGCCCTGCACGGCAGGCACCCAGTGTGTACCCACAGTCACAACCCCCCGAGGACAGGAAAACCCACCCCACGGAAAGAGAAGGAGTCGACAGAAATGGCCCCGATGGCCAATGCTGGACCTAACAGGCGAGGCTTTACAGCACCTTGACAAACAGACGTAAGGACTTAGGAGAAACCGGGTGCAATCAGGCACAGGGGACTCTGCAACGAAAGGGAACAGCGACGTGGGAATTCTAGAACCGAAAAACTGTAAAACGAAAGGTTCGCTGATGAACCAGCAGACTGGTGATGGGGGAAAACAGGGTCCAAGAGCTGACCGCGGTCCAGCGGGAGGCACTGTTCAGAGGACTAGGGGGTGAGACCCGGAAGGTGCTGGTCTTGTGCTTCCAGGACATACATGACCGGAGTCCCAAAGAGAAGGCCGTCAAAGGGCATCCGATCATGATGGGGATTCCCAAAGCTGGGAAAGCCGTCAGCTTATTCTCCCAGTGAGAAAACAATCCACGGGGGAAGCACATAGGTGCAGACGGAGGACAACTGGACGCCCCCGAGAAAACTGAAGTGCAGGAACAAATAGGAAACCCATTTAAAGTGCTGACAGAAAACCGCCCTCAGCTGAGAATCGTGGTGCAGTGAAAATGTCCTTCAAAAACGCAAACAGCAGCATTTCCAGATAAACCGACCTGCCTCTGTCACCACCAGATACCAGACGTTCCAAGAGGGGTTCTCCACCTGAAGGGCAGCGGGCAGGGACTGCAGAGGGCAGAGCGAGGAGCTGGCTTGTGCAGGAGGTGATGTCTAGGAACGAGGGAGCCGCAGCTTCCTCCGTGGAGCAGGAGGTACCAGACAGAGAAAAGGAGAGGAAATCACGCGCCCCCGCGCCGGGCTGAAGCTGGAGGCCTAATGGGGTAAGCAGAGGCCCAGGAATGTGGTGCAGGTGCACACTGTACTTTACGTCTTCTCCCAGTTGTCTCCTGACACACCCACAGCCACGAGCAGGGGCCAGAGCCCTGAGCACGTCTGGCGCCGCCATCTTGGTTTCTAAACACCACTCCCTGCACCAAAGGAACCAGGTCCCCTGAGAAAAAGGACAGTTCTAGGGCTGCAGAGGGAAGAACAGACAGGCTCGAACGTCTGGATAAGCAGAAAGTGGGGGAACACCCAAAAGATGGCTCAGAAGGAGAGAGAAGTCGGCAGATCCCATACGCGCTGAGCACCAGGACAGACAAAGGGACAGCAGGTCGAGTTCAGAAGAAGCCGTGAGCCACACTGAGTGAGCCATGAAGGGAGGAGGAAGCGCTTTCTTACGCCAGAAGCTAGGAATGAACCAGAAGGCAAATGGAGGCCAACGCGTAACCGCAGGCCAGATTCGAGGTCACGGGCACCAGGGTGAACCCCAGAGACAAACCTGGCACAGACCTCCTTCTAAAACTGATGTGATTTCCCTGGAAACAGTTGCATTTTTTATATTTGTGACAAGCCACTTCCAACCAGACCCGAGTCCCTGCTGACAAGATGACTTAGAGGGGTGTGGGGTGAGTAGAGAGCCGTCCAGAGCTTCAGCCTGGGGCCGAGTACCAGGAAACCAGCCAGGTGGTGCTGGCATCGAGCACTCAGCCTGGCCCCGACTGCGGGGAGGAAGGAGGGCCTGGGACTGCAGCGCCCAGGGCCAAGGATTTCATCAGTCTTGCCTGATTAGACGAAGCCTCAGCAAGAACTGGGCCCAGCTGGGAGCTTGCGGCTGGGGTTTGTGCAGGGGTGAGCCGGCCTGCGGCCACCTCTCCCACCCGGCTGCTGCTCAGGTGCAGCCTCTGTAACAGAACTCCCCCCAGTGGAGAGCTGCCCTGGGTCCATGAGCCGCTGCAGCGACCACCGAGCCCAAGGGGCCGTGGGCAGCTCTAAGCTGCGGCCAGCTGGAGGGAGGGCAGGGAGCTGTGGACCCACTGAGGAGGTACCCGGAGTCAGGCAGGGTCCCCGCCAACTGCAGAAAGCGTGGGAATTGAGAGGGACAGCAGAACCCGCTGGTGCTGGAGAACCAAGCAGGGTCCTGATATCAACCTCTGTGGCCCAGCCGCAGTCTGCACGAAGGGCGTCCCACAGAGCTGCTGCCCGTACCCCTCTGAGTGTCTCAGGAGAGAAAATGGAGAGGCTGAGCACTGCTCTGGACTGACAGGTGACCAAAGAGACACCACGACCCTGGATCCTGGTCAAGGTCCAGCTGAGAAGGAGACGTAACTCCTCGTGGGTGATCCACAAGTGGGACCCTGGGGTCAGGAGCTGGGCGGCTCCGGCTCCTCGGGTGCACCTGCTCTCAGCACCTGGCGAGCCTCTTCTATGCCGTGACACTCTCTCGTCTTCTCACTGACCGGAGCTCTAAGGTCTTCTTCCTACAGCTGGGCCCTGCATGCCCCTGGGCTGCCCGGCTGATGGGTGAGTGGGGACAGTGTGCACCTGTGGTCTCTGCAGCTGGACTAAGTGGTGGATCTGGTCTTACATGTCTATGACCTGTGTCATTCTGTCAGTAATATAATTGCTGCATTTACAAATCTGTGTCATTTTGTATCATTTTCTATTATGGGCTTGAAAAAGTGAATCAAATATTGATAATTTCTTACAATTAATCTGAGATTATGTTCTTGATTCTTGCCTTCAAGCTGAGCACTATTCTATTTCATGGTCACTTCTTGCTTTTCCATGGCTATGTCACAACCTTTCAAAGGTCCTGTGGTCAAGTAAGTACAAGGAATATGGCTACAGAGCACCACCCCTTTTACAGCTGCAAGTCAACAGAAGGAGGGCTCAGAACACCTGAGAATGCATCTTCATATTCTGATGACTTTCACAGACTATGAGACTGGCTGGATGTGGTGACACATGACAGTAATCCCAGCAGCTTGGGAGGCTGAGACAGGAGGATCACAAGTTCAAGAACAGACTCAGCAACTTAGCAAGACCTGGTCTCAAAATAAAAAGTGAAGAGGGCTGGGGAAGTAGCTCAATGGCACAGCTCCCCTGGGTTCAGTCCCCAGGAAGGAAGGAAGGAAGGAAGGAAGGAAGGAAGGAAGGCAAGCTACGGGATGGTATTTTGATTATCCAAGTCATGGTGAGGCTGAGGGACTTCCTGTGCCTGGGAAACTAGAACAGACCCAGCCCCACGGCTCAGTATGAGCCTCTTGCCTGCTACAGCTTCTGTGAGCCACGGCACACATGGGTCGAGGGCACTGAGGGTAAAGTCCACAGACCTGTTAGAAGGCAGCACCACTATTAACCACTATTAACCACATTAACAGAGCAGCAGGAGTCCGCAGGGGTCCTCAGAGTGTGGCAGCAGGGAGCTGGCACCCCCTCACCCCGCCCCAGGGCTGCACCACCTCATAAGCATGCAGTGTCAACCAAGATGCCCTGCTTAGAAAGCATTCATAACAGGGAAATGGGAAATCTGAAGACTCTGAAGAGTGTAATCTGTAAATCCATAAAGGCCTGTGAATCGCTGTAGCAAAATCAGAACTATCAGATCTTTCCACTGAAATACCTTAGAGCAAAAATCTCCATATTCAAAAAGACATTCATAACTTTATTTGTTAAAAAAAAAAGAGGGTGGAAGGAGAGAAATCATTCTGTTATCAAGGGGGCCTGAAGGAGGGATATGACTGAAGGGATGAGCAAAGCCCAGGGTGGGTGGGTTGGCAGTGTCTGCACCTGTCACCTCAGAACCTCAGAAGGACCTGAGTTCACGCACGTGGAGACGGCACAGACCAGGACGAGTGTGACAAGGCGAAGAGGGAAGCGTCCCCTCACGCTCTGTGAAGGAAGGACAGGCCAGTCCCCTCAGCCCCGTCTCCAGGGACCCCGGGAGGTGCTGAGGTGCTCAGGCATTTGAAAGGCAGGACCGCCCCCGCCCCTCCGCGGCCGCCCGCCGCCCTGCCCTGGTACCTCGTAGGCATCCTTGATGTTCAGGGGCTCGCCCAGCGCGGCCACGTGCCCCACGATGCCTTTGTTCCACTCCAGGCGGATGCAGCTGTTGGAGGCCTCCTCCAGCGTCGTCCCCTCCGCGACATCGAAGAGCCGGCTGACCAGGAACTTGTCGTTGGAGCTGTCCTCGCACACGAGGAACAGGGAGTAGCGGTCAGCCGCGATGAGCCCGTGGATGTGCAGGAAGATCTTGTGGCACAGGGCCGTGACGTCCAGGTGGCTGGAAATGTCCTTCACTAACTCCAGGAGCCTGGAGCACTGGTCCCCTTCGTCACTGTCGAAGCGTGGAGGGGTGAGAGGCATCTGCTCCTGCTTCCCTGCGTCGGACAGGAAGCTCACGGCGCCCTCGGAGTCCTTGACGAGGATGGGTCTCAGGGGCCTGTCGAACTCCGAGGCAGAGATCTTCCTGGCTGGTGTCCCAGGGGCACTGCTGTCTGCGCGGGGACTGGGCGGCAAGGGGCACGAGCAAGACTCGGGGTGGCCTCGGACGCCGTCCCTGCACACGGGGATGGTGTGCACTCTCTCAGCAAACCACGCGTTGACCATTTCCCTGCAGGAAGCACAGGCACACGTAAGGCGGGGGGTGGGCAGTGCCTGGAGGACTCCCAGCGCGGGGAGCAGGCACTCGCTGTCCTGCACCCGGGGAAGAAGTGACTTGAGCCCTGGAGGCAAGCAGGCAGTGTCCACCAACTTAAAGGCCCTGCCCCTCACCCCGGGGCCTGCCCACATGTGCAAAGTGCAAGGCAGGCACCTGGCACTGTCTGCACAAGGAGGGGAAGTGGCTACCTGATGCCCTGGCTGGAGGCTGACTGGTCACCCAGTGGACGCCCACCTGCCCAATCTCCACAGGCGACAGAACATGTTCTTAGCATGTGCTTAGAGTGTGCTTGGCATGCTCAAGGCCCAGGCTCACGTGAACACGTCGGACACAAGGGAAAAAGTAGCAGGTGGGAGTCGAGAAGGAGGCTCTGACCAGGTGGTCACTGCTATGCCCGGGACACACTGCTACTTTCCCTCCTCTTTCTGGACTCCAGGGGACTCAGAAGAACATCCCATTACAGACACAGAAGCAAACATCATCACTTATTTAGACCTGGAGAGGCCGATGCTGACAGCCCTCTTTCTAAATCCCGAGGCTGACTTCAGTGGCTGAGCTGACCCGTTCTACAGCTGCCCTGCAGAGCCGGACCAAAGTCCAGTCTCCTGGTGGACGCAAGTTCCAGGGGCACCAACGCCAGCCGCCAAGGCGGCCCCAGAACCCACCAAGCTGGAGAGCCAAGATCAGCTGTGCGCAGAGGAGGACGCGGGGGAACGGCCAGCCCCGCACCCGCTCTGCACAGGAGCCCCGCCCTCAGACACTCTTCACCTGCACTGCACCACTGTTCCCAAGCATCAGAGACGGGGACTCCTGGGGATGGCGTCCAGAAACTGGGACATGGTTATAAACTGAGAGCAATGTATGCAGGGGACATGTGATGAGCACCCGAGAGCCGGTCCCAGGTCACCGGGCCCAGCACAGAGCGGTGCAGGGTGCGGGCTGGGTTCAGACACAGAACGAGTTCTCAGCCTGGCTGGGTGTCCTGTCCTGTCCTCGCCCTGGCCACTCCAGCCATCCTATATTGGCCGCTTCTAGCTGAAATCACTGGCTGACAGACAACCAAGAAAAGGTAGTTCCAGGTTCCCACAGCAAACCAAGAGCCCCAGGCCACCGCGTGACCAGTGTCGTCACCAAGAGCACAGCCACCCATGCTGCGATTCTGACGTGATAACCAGGGCTTTTCAAAGTTCTTGGATTAACAAGTCGTACGTAGTAAAGCTAGAGCATAAAATTTCTCCTTAAATCAAGCTCTTTCATTTGCTCCCCAAACCACATCGTATAATAGACTCCACAGCTGGGGGTGGGGGTCACCTGCCATCTTCTCACCAAAGAGAAAAGTGTCAACTGCTGGAAGTCCCTGGGCTTTCCCTTGGCATCTTCCCCTGGGAGCCTCAGGGTCATCCTTGATAAGCTGGGAACTGCTAACCGTCCCAACCCCTCACCAAGTTCAAGGTTCTGACCCCCTCAATCAAGATGTCCAGGCCAGCAAGCAGGGTGACCCTAGCTCAGCCATGAGGCTGCAGACCTGAGGGCTGGACAAGCACAGCTCTCTGGAGGTCCAGCTCTGTGGTGGTGACTCGGCTGCTGTGCCAGCTGGCCATGGAGACCCCACGCAGCCTCACGGTCAACGGGCCAGGAGGCGGCCCCCAGCAGGCGACCCACTCAGCCTCCAAGCGTGGGAACCCTTTCAAACTCCTTCCCAGAAGTCAACGTCAAAGCTAAGCAGAGAGCACAGGGTCACCACCTGTGAGGTTCGGCCATCCCCACGCCCCACTCGCTCCCTGGAGGCGGAGGGCTGGGTAAGGGGCAGCACAGTTCATTCACTCCTGAGGCTCAGCCAAGAGAATCAGGGCTCAGGAGCCCCAAGCAGGGCGGACTGGCGCGGTCGTATAGGCTTTCCAACACACCACGAGCACCCAGGGGCTCGCCACAGCAGGTGCTGGGAATGCCCTTCTGTAGACCCTCCAATTGGAGGGGAGGGGGCTCTTCTTTTAAAGAAGTGGTATTTAAGTCACTCATGCGAGGTACTTCGCCCTTTGCTACAAGCACTGGTGATACATAGTGATTCTGAGTATAAGCTGGTCTTCACTAACTGCCCTGCAAACCTGGGAGCCGTCAGAGAGCACAGCGGCTTGAAGTCCGCCGCTGACGCAGCTTTCACAGGCTCTTCAAAAAGGACAACGGGCCCTGGACACTCAAGGCAAGCCCTGGCCAGGGGCAATGCAATGAAAATCCATGCCACAGCTTTGTCACCCACGCCCAGAGCCTGGTGTTGAGCGCCCTGTGAAGGTGCCCCTCCTCCACACTCTGCTGTATGCCCGCCCCTTGCTCCTTGTGCTACAGCACCACACCCTGTCTCCCACCTACCAACGAGCTGCACCCCACAGCTGCTTCCCCACTTTTTGAAGACGTCCTGGGCTAACCAGGGAAACCTGAAGTCCTGGAAGTCGACCTTGGGGGAGCTCGGCCACAGTACAGGTCATGAGGAACCCTTTCCCACGGGAGCACAACCTCCCAAAGACGCATGCCCAGTCCAGGGGGGGAAGAACCCACCCGCAGGTGTCCTGTGGTGATTGAGACCTTGAGTCTCGAATCTTTTCCAGCGATGGGTCTGATCCGATCTGAGGGCTCATCCTGCCATTCCACTCCAGGACGACTCTAGCAGCCCAGCCTGCTCATGGGGCAAGGGCTGAGTACAAATACCAGCACCCCAGGAGCTCACCGGTCTCTTCCCGAGGCCTCCCAGGGCACAGCAGCACGGCATCCTTCAGGATCAGAGCCTGGGTGCAGAACCGGGAAGCCGGCAGGTACCCACACTAGTGCCCCAAGCTGGACACACAGATGACTCGGCCAATTGTGGCTGATAACACAGGATCACGGGAATCCCAGGGATGGGAAGCTTGAGTGTTTTACACAAAGAATGTGTCAAGAGTACACACGGGAAGGAAAAAAGTGCTCCCCGTGGCCGCCTCCGTGCCCCACTTTCAAAGTACATGAAAAGGGTCTGTGTTCTTAAAATGACGGAATCAGTCAATTAATGACCAGATGAAATGATGGCCAGCAGCAATGACTCCATGGTGCTGACACAGACGTAGGTTGTGCACACTGGGCTTGCTTCATCTTGGACACTGGTCAGTAATGACTTTGAAACAGTGAAGGGCCCACAGGGCACCCCCTGAGGGAAGAAGCAAAGCATGCCCCCGGCCAAGTCCTCAGTTTAAATCAGATTATTATGACCCTGTCACAGAAAGGAAGGCCACAGCATGCAGTCCATGTTTTAGGAACTGTCCATGAATCTGGACAACTCAGTACCTGCTGATGCCGACGCTAGAGGCCTCAGGGAGAAGCACCAAGTAAAGCCCACTGACGACCCGGGAGGCCCATGCCACAGCGGCTCAGATGCAACCCGCCACCAAGAACAGGCCACATGCCACACACAGGCTGACTACTCACACACGTGCACATGCACACGCCTGCACACACAGGCATTCCTGTGAACACACTTGCACAAGCACACACATGCACACAAAAGTGCGCACACCCACGTACACACACATGGACACACACATGCATGCACAGGCACACCTATTAACACACACAAGTGCACATGCCCATGTGCCACACACATGCACACACAAGTGCACACAGGAGAAAATACATGCAAAGCACACTGTGAACACACTTGCACAACCACACACATGCACACAAAAGTGCACAAACATGAGCAAACTCATGCATGCCCAGGCACCTGTGAACATGTTTGCACAAGTACACACATGCACACACAAGTACACACATGCATGCACATGCACGCCTGTGAACATACACACAAGTGCTCATGCTCACGTGCACACACATGCACACACAAGTGCACACGCCCACGTGCACACACATGAGCAAACAAATGCATGCCCAGGCACGCCTGTGAATACACTTGCACAAGCACACACATGCACACACAAGTGCATACATATGCATGCCCAGGCATGCCTGTGAACATACACACAAGTGCACATGCCTACATGCACACTCATGGGTATATACACGCATGCACAGACACAACTGTGAACACACACATGCACACACAAGTGCACACACCCACATGTACACACATGGGCACACACAGGCATGCCTGTAAACACACACACACACACAACACACACACACACACACACAGTGTTCATAAGGGACCCCATTAGCAGTAACTAGTTTCTACCAAAGTCAAACTGTTTGTGCATCTTAAAATAAGCATCTTGGAAAAGACAGAAATGTCTTAAAGTACACTCAATATTCCAGAGGTCTCTAAAGGGAAAAATACTGGAAATGTTTTGTCTAAGTTTTATAAAATATTTCTTGGCTTCTAGAAAAGCAGGAAAAGAAAAGAAAAAAATTACAGGGCAAAGAAATTCTAACACAAACCTAATAACCCTGGTGAATCAAAAATATAATTAGATGGAACCCACTAATTAGATGGCACTAGTTTAATGTGCCTGTACCTTTGCCTAAAATAATGCAGCAGAGGATAAAAATTCTTTGAAAATATCCTGTACTTAGGGTATTTTTGCTCTAATACTAAAAATACAATTGTAATGGCCCCGTACCTGAGCGTTCAGCCACTCTATTTTAAGCTGTCATTTGAGATTTCCCACTTTTACACTCTAAAATTACAAGTGGAGTTGGAGCCCGCTCGGGCAACGTCTCCAGGCACATCCTTCAGCAGCGTGCACCTGGGAGACCCGGAAGAAGCCAACTCCTGACTGGGTTCCCAGTGACGTGGGTCCACAAGCCTGTGCTTCTGCCCCAGGAAGGCACCCTGAAGTCAGCCCAGCACGGGGACAGGTGCACACTGCCACCACAGACCACTTCTCTCCAAGCAGTGACTCTGGCCACATTATCTGCACTCTGTGAAATGCAGTCACCGGCACCTCCCCAGGGGTCCTTAAAGTGCTAAG